TAGAAAATGAACACATAGAATGCACACACCCTGGCTCAACATATAGAGTCCCAGAGCCAGGGTGTGACATGAGGATGTCATTTCTCAGACAATGTTTTGATAGGGGCATTACTTCAGATTTGGTCCAGTTTACTTTATAGCCCGATATCTCTGAAAATTCATTTACTAGGTCCAGTAAAAGTGATATGGAGAGTTGGGGGTCTGACATTAATAGTAATATGTCATCTGCATAAAGCAGTAGTTTATTCTCCCTACCTCCCATATTAACCCCTTTGATTGACTGATGCAGCCTAATGGCTTCGGCTAATGTGTCACGATCGTCGTTACAGGAAGCGGACCAAGGCGCAGCGTGTGAAAGAAACATGACTTTATTATATTAAAGTATCTAAATACAAAACAAAACACGACTCGTGAAGTCCAACGGTTACACTGACCGAATAAGGAACAAAAACCCACAACCCCAAAGTGAAACACAGAACGTTAAATATGGCTCCCAATCAGAGACAACCAGTCGACAGCTGACACTCATTGCCTCTGATTGGGAGTCATTCATTCAAACATAGAAATGAACCCAACAGAAATACCAACATAGAAATACACCCAATGAATGAACAGACCCTGGCTCAACATACAGAGTCCCGGAGCCAGAGTGTGACATAATGGTTCTAATGGCCAACAGTTTTCCTGCCTTTTCACCTGATTCCTACCATCTCTGCTTCAGCTTGTACAGGGAATATTCAGCTTTTTTGCTGAATATAGTACCCAGCACGTATTTGGTTTTTGTCAGATTTACCAGAGAAATGTTGTTAGGATTGGACCAATATTCCCTCTTCAGCCTTTTGAGCTCTGTTTCAAGTTGATCCATTTTCTTAATAGTAGCTGAATGTTTTATCATTACTCTGCAAATATAAGCTTTAAAAGCTTCTCAGACATATACCTGTTTCGCGCTATTGTTCTTTGTTTCAAAGAATATCGTAATGTGTGTTTTAAGAAATTCACAAAACACCTTGTCCTGTAAGAGGCTGGTGTTCATTCTCCAACAATTACATGCGTCTCTTTCTTCTCCTATTCCAACAGCCAGATCAAGTGGTGCATGATCTGACACAGATATCCTGCTCACACTGCAAGCACCCACTTTATCTATGAGAGAGTGTGAGATCAGGAAGTAGTCAATGCGTGAATAAACAGTGTGCCTTTTCAAAAAGAATGTGTAATCACGAGCGCTTGGATTGATCAATCTCCATATATCATAAAGACCAGCATCTTTACACAGTGTTTTGATTGCTTCTTGAGTTTTTGAGGTCCTGGTTAGACCAGTTTTGGATGCATCTAAAAAAGCATCAGGGACCTGATTATCATCCCCCCCTAGCACCAGAGGAAAATCACCAAAATCCAGTATTATTTTGTTAAGTTGAAGGAAGAAGTCTGGGTCCTCCTCATTCGGAGCATAAATATATCCCAATATTATATTTTGTCCTGAAATCTTTACAAATAAAATCAAGATTCGTCCCTCTTTGTTCTTTAACTATTTTTCCACTTGAACATGTATACTTTTGGAAAATAGAATAGAGACACCTCTTTTTGGGGGTTGAATGTATTACGGTAAGCACTGCCCACCCATCTGTCTCCCACCCATCTGTCTCCCACCCTAGGAGCATCCTTTTCCAGCAGGTGGGTCTCTTGGAGCATAATCACGTCTGAGTGTTTTTGTTTAAGATCATTCAATACCTTTCGTCTTTTTAAATATGAGCCTAATCCGTTCACATTCCACGACGTAACTTTAATCACCTTGGTCATAATATCTGAAAGGTTGTAATATCTGAAAGCACTGACGCTCCAACTAGAATAAAAACTTTTTACTAACGCCAAATACAGGCATGACCATATACATTTTGAAATGACAGAGATGATATGTCATAGAAATGACATAGATCAACCAAAAACATCGAACATAAAGACAGGCTGATCATTATTCGCGCAAAGAGAAGAGATTACCTTTCTCATGTAGACTGATACATGAACAGTCTAATTCCAAAAGGCAGGAATGTAAGCAATGAAGAAACACAAAAGGTCATAATAATGATGAAATAAAATAAGCTAATAAACACTTTGGGTAGTGCCCATCACGCATGGCACGAACACGCCTGCTGTGGCCTATATTGACCCATTGTTGTTATAAGAGTGAAAACTTAAAATAATATATATGTTAATCACCACTATAACCATAAAACAGAATGATATGCTTGGACTATAATGCTGCTTTATCTAGTACTATAGTGATATCAACTGTAAAGCAGAAAGATACATTATAGGCAGCATTCACAGCATAAACACTCCATGAGACTGTTACTCACAACATAGGAAGTTCTCCTTAGAGAGAAATGGTAGTCCATCCGTGACGAACCACCGACACCATGCGGATCTTCCATTGCCTACCACGCTACTCAATTTGTTCGGCCTCATTGACGTCCGCGACACACTTCTTTGCCTCCTTTGGGTCTGTGAAACGACGTAGTGATCCTCTCACAGTAACCCAGAACACGGCAGGATATTGCAACGAGCATTTCAGTCCCAGTTTAATGCACATATGTCTCACCTCCATGAACGCATTTCTCTTGTCCTGAACCTCCTTGGAAAAGTCAGGGAAAAACTCCACCTTTGTCCCTTTCCAGTGAAAAGTCCTAAGCTCTTTTGCTCTGAGCCGGACCTTCTCCCTGTCGGTGTATTGTAAGAACTTCACCAGGATAGGCCGGTTGTTGCGTGGGGCTGGTCCTGGACACAGTGTCCGATGTGTTCTCTCGATGATCATGTCATTAACATCCTCCGGTGTGTCATCAAATAGGTTGCGTAAATGTCTTTCACACAATCCTCGGTATTTATGTGGATTTCGGAACCCCTCTGATCCGAAGTGTGTTTCTCCGACTGTAATTTTACTGGTATGGAAGTTGTTCTAATAAGTTTTCGATCACAGTCACCATTTTTTCAATAGTGTCATTTAGGCGGGTATTCTTGTCCTCCAAGGTTGATATCCTCTCTTCTGCGTTTGTAACTTGATTGTCGAGTGTCCACTTTTGTTTTCAGTGCGCCCACTGTATGTTTTATTTTAGCCTCATCTTCGCCCACTTTCTCTTAAAGATTTTTCTTCATTTTGCGAATCTCATTTAGAACTGGGTCATCAGGCTGTTCTTCTCCGCCATTTTCCTTGCTTGTGTTTTTCATCAAAAGTGTCTGCTTTTGTGTGTTTCTAAGTCGTTTTTCCATGTAACCGATATCTTGGACAATTAGTTAACAAAATGTGTAACTAGGCGTTGAATAATTATTTAAAATATAGATGGAGCTTCACAGCCTCTTTAGTCAGCTGCTGCTCCTCACCACATCGTCGCCGGAAGTCCAGTAAGACAGCAGAGAAAATGAGAATTGAAATTAGAGGAATTGTGCAATCCTAGATCACTTTGCGCTAAGTGATAGAGAGCATGCTCTACCGCATAGTGTGATGCGCGTGGACTGATTAGGACATCATGTCAGACTAGAACATCAGGTTAGGGATAGACTTATTAACCAATTTACAGGAAGAACGGTTTCTCATACAGTTGAAACTAAGTATCATAGCAAAACTGTGTTTACTTTTTATGTAGGTACGATACCAATTTGGACTAGTTCTCCATATTAGGCAATATTTTAGCAGCCATGCAATTACATGTTTTAAGTTGTAGGAACTGATCACTCCTTTATTTTGTGTGTGTGTGTGTGAGTGTGAGTGAGATAGGAACTCAAGACGGCAGGTAGCTTAGTTGTTAAGAGCGTTGTGCCAGTAACCGAAAGGTTGCTGGTTCTAATCCCCGAGCCGACTAGGTGAAAAATCTGTCGATGTGCCCTTGAGCAAGGCACTTAACCCTAATTGCTCCTGTAAGTCGCTCTGGATAAGAGCGTCTGCTAAATGACACACAAAAAAAAAAAAAAAGCCAGGATCAATCTCGAGCAAAAAGTGTTCTCCAGCCACCACATGCTACACAGGGCCGTTGAAGGTGATGGTATTCAAATGGGGTCCGAGTGTTGCAGAGGACGTGTCACAATGGCACCGCTTAACGAATGGACATTTTCCCGAAGAAGGCACCCTCAGTGTCAGAGAACAGTTGGAGAGAGTAGGGAAAGGCAAGAAAAATAATATATGATGGGCTACTTTTAGAAAGTGTGAAGTTGAAGCAGAGACAAGGACAGAGAGAGAGAGGAAAAGTGCAGAGGTAATGATGAAAGCTGAAGAAAAGAAAGCCAAAGCAAGTAGGCACAGACGTAAAGATGAACTGTATCAACATCATCGACCACCCTATGCTCCCCCACCTCAACAACGTCTACCACCTCCACACCCAGGGCTCCCAGCAGCAGAGGTGGGGGCAGTGGGGGCAGACGGCGGAGAATCTGAGGAAGACAAAGAAGAAAAAGACACGCCTCTGACCACCAGAGTGGAATACCAACTCCTCTGACCACCACACACACTGAGTTCCAGAGTAGAATACCAGCTCCTCTGACCACCACACACACTGAGTTCCAGAGTGGAATACCAGCTCCTCTGACCACCACACACACTGAGTTCCAGAGTGGAATACCAACACCTCAGGACTGCCCCCGCCGAGACCCTAAGCCTCCCAAACGACTGGTCACTGAAATGACCTGTGGACTTTATCCAGACCTACCACCCCCTCCCCCTCCTGTTTCAACACCACCCTCTGCCGCGCTGTTTCCTCAGATGTCAATACCCAATCCAGTGGCGGGCTGTGACGACAACGCCCCTCCAACCATCCTAGTCCAGCGGAATTGAGAAATGGGGGAAATGATGGCCATCGTGAAGGAGCTTCCCCCTCCCTCTCATAGTGGGGCACAATGGTGGAGCCAGTTTTCCACCATAATCTCATCCCCTGACTACAGTCTGGCCACATGCTGTATACAAGCTGCAGGAAGGGAGAGACAACAGAAGAAACTGGCAAGTGCCCAGCTGATGTTTTATGAGGGAGGGAACAGAGGGAACTCGGGAGACAGAGGAAGGGGAAGGGGGGCTGGAAGAGCAAGAGGAGCAAGGGGCCACGGAGGAAGACGGGGTGGAGGAGGAAGAGGGGAACAATGGAGGTGTTATAACTGTCAACAGCCTGGCCACATTTCAAGAAATTGCCCCCAGAACAGGGGTGCTGTGGGTGGCTATGATGAAGCTGAGGACAGTGATGCCTACTATCCTCCACCACCACATGTGACAGCATCTAAGTGATAGAAAGCATGCAAATATGCAACCGGTTTATTTTTGTCCCCATGTTTTTGTGTCAGTACTGATGTCATATATCCCTCTCTACAATCCACAGTTTGAGTAAATGGTCTATCATATCTAGGAAATGCCAGCACCGTTGAAGAGGTCAATAATTGCATAATTTCCTCAAATTGCAAATCAGCCTCGTTATTCCAAATTATTTGATAATGTGCTGCCATAGCTTTTCCATAGATAAGATCACTCAATTTTCCAGTGTGTAATGCATAATGGGGAATCCATGCTCGACAGTAATTAATCATTCCCCAAAAAGCTCATCATTTGTTTCTTATTCAGAGGTTTAGGAGCTTCTAATATTGCCGTTTTTCTTGACGAGTTTAGGGTTCTCCCATCCTGCGTTATCGTGTGACCTAAATAAATTAAATCTTTCTGCCAGAGATGTAGTTTCTTTTTACTGACCTTGTGTCCTTGTCCTGCCATAAAGGTTAACAACTGGAGAGTATCATTTTTACACCCCTCCTCTGAGGGGTTTGCTACCAGTATATCATCAATGTATATCAATGTCGTGTATTGGGATTATGCCTTTGTTAAATGTTTTTCTTGAAGAAATGGAATGTTGTTTATGTTAGGTCAAATGTAGCCGTTTGGAGGGTGACGTCCCAGGGGAAACTGGTGATTGGCCAGAAGAGGGAGCCCATCTTTTTGCATTGTTTATAAGTAGGGGTTAAACGAAGAAGAGAGGCAGAGCGGCCATTCTGGGGCGTCGCTCTCCAGACACCGCGGGTCTGTAACTTATGCTGTAACCTTGTGATATTAATAAAAGCCTCTAATCATTGTGCAGCCTAAGCGGACTCTTTGTTGACAGCAATAATTGCCACCATTCACCCGATATGACAAATGGCGCCCAACGTAACATAAACAACATTCCATTTCTTCAAGAAAAACATTTAACAAAGGCATAATCCCAATACACGACATCAACATTTGCTCCCATCTTGGGGTTCGAACATTCCCATATTCATACGACTTTCATATCACATTCACACAACACCTGGAATCACCCCTTTCTGTTTATGTAGTAGTGGTCTATTGACTGTCTCACCTTTAGTGGTCTATTGACTGTCTCACCTTTAGTTTATTTTGGTAATGGCCTATTACCGTGAATCGTTACGGACCCACCAACATTTCACTAATGAATAAAGACTACTGACCTTATCCTTGCAGCTGAGATTCAATGTAGGTTGGATTCCATCACCGTCTCTGTCATTATCAGGTGTTCTCTGGCCTGTGTTATAGTCTCCCGAGTGGCGGAGTGGTCTAAGGCACTGCATCGCAGTGCTAGCTGTGCCACGAGATCCTGGTTCGAATCCAGGCTCTGTCGTAGCCGGCCATGACCGGGAGACCCATGGGGCGGCGCACAATTGGCCCAGCGTTGTCAGCGTTGATACGAATGTATCATTCGCCCGTCGACAGTTTTCAGAGTTACCTGGAATGACAGAGGCAGGTATTGGAATCCCGCTCGAAAGGACCAAGCTGTTAAGATAATTTATTAACTAACTATTTCAGTGTCTCTGTGCGTCTCCCAAAAAGTTGTAAGGCTTTTGGATCAAGAAACGGGCAGAGCCTCAGTTCAATAGCCAGGTCTTTATTCTGAGAATTCTGTTATCACAATTTCAGAGTCCATCTTTTATACACATACGTCATACTAAAATCCCACCCCGCTTTAGGCGGGCTGTATTTTTCCACTGTACATGGGTTTAGCTCATGTTTTCCTCTGCTCTCCTGACCATCAGGTCACACACATATGTTCTTATCATAGTTTACTCCCTGCATTCCTCAGTTATCACCGTTCTCACAATATTCTGACTGCCTCATTGTACTTCTAACTAAGCTACACATATTATCAGATTATAGTCTTATGATTCTAACACTTTTCACACAGTTTCAGGGTGTAATAATTAGTCATCAATAATTAGTCATTACCAAATTCTTCTATCAAGATGACACCGGAATTGGTCGATCAGGGCCCGCTCGTTCCACCTGGACCCCGCTGCCAGCGTCCGAAACTCCATCGCGAAGTCATGCGCGGTCCTTGTCCCCTGCCTCAGGTGGACCAGCCGCTCGCCCGCCTCTCGACCCTCGGGCGGGTGATCGAAGACTGACCGAAAGAGGCGAGCGAACTCCCCGTAGTCCTCCAACGCGGCTCCTCCTTCGTTCCACACCGCGTTGGTCCACTCCAGGGCTTTCCCACAGAGGCAGGAAACGAGGATGGACACCTTCTCCCGCTCCAATGGCGCTGGCCTGATGCTGGAGAAGTAAAGCTCCAGCTGGAGGAGGAATCCTTGGCAGAGCACCGCTGTCCCATCAAACTCCCATGGCCGGGATATATGGATCCCTCCGGGTGCTGGGGTGTAGGTGGCTGTATCCGGTTGGCCATCTGGTCTCGACAGATCGGGTCCTCTCCTCACTTCCCCCAAGCTGGCCAGCATCGTGGAATGCTCCTGGACCCGTGCCACGACTCCAGGCATGTGGTCTTCTCCTGCTGACTCCATATCTTCAGGTGAGTGATTCTGTGATGAGTGATGGAAGGAGTCAGGCGCAGGAGTGTAATCACCAAAACAGAGTTTATTCCGTCCAGACACACAAATGCGTTGTAAAGCGACAACCGAAACAGGCACAGGGGAAACTCACTTCCCTGACAACACACTGTAACGGTTGAATACAACAATATATAGGCACAGGGGAAAATCTACCCTGGCAAACAAAATGGTATGAGGAGCTCGACCGAGCTACACTACTCCCACAATGAAACAATCACTCACAAGGACAAGGGGGCAGAGGGAACACTTATACACAGACTAATTAGGGGATACGAACCAGGTGTGTGTGATTGACAAGTCAAATGTAATGATGATAATTGGGGGCGGCAGTGGCTAGTAAGCCGGTGACGATGAACGCCGAAGCCTGCCCGAACAAGGAGGGGAGGCAGCCTCGGCTGATGTCGTGACACATACATAGATGACTGGTAGGGGTACGGCCTTTTGTTTTGTTTGTTTAGTTTTTCCTTTTGTTGTAATAGTTAGTTTCCTTTTGTATCTTTACTGTGCGGTAAGTTCGGGGGGGTGTTCGCGCCCCTTTTGTTGCGTTGCGGCCTTGTTCTAGAATGGATTAGGTTGTTTTTTTCCCTTGCCGTCTGCACGCGGTACCCAATAGTGGCAGGGCAGGGGGCAGGTTTGGGGAGCTGTTTTCACATTGTCATTGTGGGGTGTTGTGTGTGGATTGATGAGGAAGGTGGTACCAAATTGTGGTGGATATTATATAATAAGGATCTGCTGGAGTCCAAGTCAAACCCAGATTCTTTATTTCTGAGCTCAGAGAGAATAAGAGAGTTACACAGCGCAGTGTAGACAGTCTGAATTCCGAAGCATTGGGTGATAAGCACATATCTTTAAGGTCCCTGTTTTTGGGCGGGACCTTATCTATACAAGGACGCAGTTGCAAGCTGGTTTGCAACACAGGATGATACTCCCACCAACAGCAGATTATAATAGGACAGTGTCACACAGTTTCACAAAGTTAGTCACACACTCAGTTACTGTATGTGGACACATACAGTACAATACAATGCAAATGTCCCATTACAATAGTCAAAGCAACCCTGCGAGTTTGCGAGTTATACAGTGGGGGAAAAAAGTATTTAGTCAGCCACCAATTGTGCAAGTTCTCCCACTTAAAAAGATGAGAGAGGCCTGTAATTTTCATCATAGGTACACGTCAACTATGACAGACAAATTGAGGAAAAAAATTCCAGAAAATCCCATTGTAGGATTTTTTATGAATTTAATTGCAAATTATGGTGGAAAATAGGTATTTGGTCACCTACAAACAAGCAAGATTTCTGGCTCTCACAGACCTGTAACTTCATCTTTAAGAGGCTCCTCTGTCCTCCACTCGTTACCTGTATTAATGGCACCTGTTTGAACTTGTTATCAGTATAAAAGACACCTGTCCACAACCTCAAACAGTCACACTCCAAACTCCACTATGGCCAAGACCAAAGAGCTGTCAAAGGACACCAAAAACAAAATTGTAGACCTGCACCAGGCTGGGAAGACTGAATCTGCAATAGGTAAGCAGCTTGGTTTGAAGAAATCAACTGTGGGAGCAATTATTAGGAAATGGAAGACATACAAGACCACTGATAATCTCCCTCGATCTGGGGCTCCACGCAAGATCTCACCCGAACAGAACAAGGGTGCTGTGGGTGGCTATGATGAAGCTGAGGACAGTGATGCCTACTATCCTCCACCACCACATGTGACAGCATCTAAGTGATAGAAAGCATGCAAATATGCAACCGGTTTATTTTTGTCCCCATGTTTTTGTGTCAGTACTGATGTCATATATCCCTCTCTACAATCCACAGTTTGAGTAAATGGTCTATCATATCTAGGAAATGCCAGCACCGTTGAAGAGGTCAATAATTGCATAATTTCCTCAAATTGCAAATCAGCCTCGTTATTCCAAATTATTTGATAATGTGCTGCCATAGCTTTTCCATAGATAAGATCACTCAATTTTCCAGTGTGTAATGCATAATGGGGAATCCATGCTCGACAGTAATTAATCATTCCCCAAAAAGCTCATCATTTGTTTCTTATTCAGAGGTTTAGGAGCTTCTAATATTGCAGTTTTTCTTGACGAGTTTAGGGTTCTCCCATCCTGCGTTATCGTGTGACCTAAATAAATTAAATCTTTCTGCCAGAGATGTAGTTTCTTTTTACTGACCTTGTGTCCTTGTCCTGCCATAAAGGTTAACAACTGGAGAGTCTCCTTTTTACACCCCTCCTCTGATGGGTTTGCTACCAGTATATCATCAATGTATATCAATGTCGTGTATTGGGATTATGCCTTTGTTAAATGTTTTTCTTGAAGAAATGGAATGTTGTTTATGTTAGGTCAAATGTAGCCGTTTGGAGGGTGACGTCCCAGGGGAAACTGGTGATTGGCCAGAAGAGGGAGCCCATCTTTTTGCATTGTTTATAAGTAGGGGTTAAACGAAGAAGAGAGGCAGAGCGGCCATTCTGGGGCGTCGCTCTCCAGACACCGCGGGTCTGTAACTTATGCTGTAACCTTGTGATATTAATAAAAGCCTCTAATCATTGTGCAGCCTAAGCGGACTCTTTGTTGACAGCAATAATTGCCACCATTCACCCGATATGACAAATGGCGCCCAACGTAACATAAACAACATTCCATTTCTTCAAGAAAAACATTTAACAAAGGCATAATCCCAATACACGACATCAACATTTGCTCCCATCTTGGGGTTCGAACATTCCCATATTCATACGACTTTCATATCACATTCACACAACACCTGGAATCACCCCTTTCTGTTTATGTAGTAGTGGTCTATTGACTGTCTCACCTTTAGTGGTCTATTGACTGTCTCACCTTTAGTTTATTTTGGTAATGGCCTATTACCGTGAATCGTTACGGACCCACCAACATTTCACTAATGAATAAAGACTACTGACCTTATCCTTGCAGCTGAGATTCAATGTAGGTTGGATTCCATCACCGTCTCTGTCATTATCAGGTGTTCTCTGGCCTGTGTTATAGTCTCCCGAGTGGCGGAGTGGTCTAAGGCACTGCATCGCAGTGCTAGCTGTGCCACGAGATCCTGGTTCGAATCCAGGCTCTGTCGTAGCCGGCCATGACCGGGAGACCCATGGGGCGGCGCACAATTGGCCCAGCGTTGTCAGCGTTGATACGAATGTATCATTCGCCCGTCGACAGTTTTCAGAGTTACCTGGAATGACAGAGGCAGGTATTGGAATCCCGCTCGAAAGGACCAAGCTGTTAAGATAATTTATTAACTAACTATTTCAGTGTCTCTGTGCGTCTCCCAAAAAGTTGTAAGGCTTTTGGATCAAGAAACGGGCAGAGCCTCAGTTCAATAGCCAGGTCTTTATTCTGAGAATTCTGTTATCACAATTTCAGAGTCCATCTTTTATACACATACGTCATACTAAAATCCCACCCCGCTTTAGGCGGGCTGTATTTTTCCACTGTACATGGGTTTAGCTCATGTTTTCCTCTGCTCTCCTGACCATCAGGTCACACACATATGTTCTTATCATAGTTTACTCCCTGCATTCCTCAGTTATCACCGTTCTCACAATATTCTGACTGCCTCATTGTACTTCTAACTAAGCTACACATATTATCAGATTATAGTCTTATGATTCTAACACTTTTCACACAGTTTCAGGGTGTAATAATTAGTCATTACCAAATTCTTCTATCAAGATGACACCGGAATTGGTCGATCAGGGCCCGCTCGTTCCACCCGGACCCCGCTGCCAGCGTCCGAAACTCCATCGCGAAGTCATGCGCGGTCCTTGTCCCCTGCCTCAGGTGGACCAGCCGCTCGCCCGCCTCTCGACCCTCGGGCGGGTGATCGAAGACTGACCGAAAGAGGCGAGCGAACTCCCCGTAGTCCTCCAACGCGGCTCCTCCTTCGTTCCACACCGCGTTGGTCCACTCCAGGGCTTTCCCACAGAGGCAGGAAACGAGGATGGACACCTTCTCCCGCTCCAATGGCGCTGGCCTGATGCTGGAGAAGTAAAGCTCCAGCTGGAGGAGGAATCCTTGGCAGAGCACCGCTGTCCCATCAAACTCCCATGGCCGGGATAAATGGATCCCTCCGGGTGCTGGGGTGTAGGTGGCTGTATCCGGTTGGCCATCTGGTCTCGACAGATCGGGTCCTCTCCTCACTTCCCCCAAGCTGGCCAGCATCGTGGAATGCTCCTGGACCCGTGCCACGACTCCAGGCATGCGGTCTTCTCCTGCTGACTCCATATCTTCAGGTGAGTGATTCTGTGATGAGTGATGGAAGGAGTCAGGCGCAGGAGTGTAATCACCAAAACAGAGTTTATTCCGTCCAGACACACAAATGCGTTGTAAAGCGACAACCGAAACAGGCACAGGGGAAACTCACTTCCCTGACAACACACTGTAACGGTTGAATACAACAATATATAGGCACAGGGGAAAATCTACCCTGGCAAACAAAATGGTATGAGGAGCTCGACCGAGCTACACTACTCCCACAATGAAACAATCACTCACAAGGACAAGGGGGCAGAGGGAACACTTATACACAGACTAATTAGGGGATACGAACCAGGTGTGTGTGATTGACAAGTCAAATGTAATGATGATAATTGGGGGCGGCAGTGGCTAGTAAGCCGGTGACGATGAACGCCGAAGCCTGCCCGAACAAGGAGGGGAGGCAGCCTCGGCTGATGTCGTGACACATACATAGATGACTGGTAGGGGTACAGCCTTTTGTTTTGTTTGTTTAGTTTTTCCTTTTGTTCTAATAGTTAGTTTCCTTTTGTATCTTTACTGTGCGGTAAGTTCGGGGGGGTGTTCGCGCCCCTTGACTTTTTCCGCATTTTGTTGCGTTGCGGCCTTGTTCTAGAATGGATTAGGTTGTTTTTTTCCCTTGCCGTCTGCACGCGGTACCCAATAGTGGCAGGGCAGGGGGCAGGTTTGGGGAGCTGTTTTCACATTGTCATTGTGGGGTGTTGTGTGTGGATTGATGAGGAAGGTGGTACCAAATTGTGGTGGATATTATATAATAAGGATCTGCTGGAGTCCAAGTCAAACCCAGATTCTTTATTTCTGAGCTCAGAGAGAATAAGAGAGTTACACAGCGCAGTGTAGACAGTCTGAATTTCGAAGCATTGGGTGATAAGCACATATCTTTAAGGTCCCTGTTTTTGGGCAGGACCTTATCTATACAAGGACGCAGTTGCAAGCTGGTTTGCAACACAGGATGATACTCCCACCAACAGCAGATTATAATAGGACAGTGTCACACAGTTTCACAAAGTTAGTCACACACTCAGTTACTGTATGTGGACACATACAGTACAATACAATGCAAATGTCCCATTACAATAGTCAAAGCAACCTTTGAGCTATCCCATGAGTGTTTGCGGGTTATATGACGTATCAGATCTGATGTAAGAGAATGATGAACAACAGGAATAGACTCGCCCATCCAAACATTTCCATAAATTTGCCTGTCATCGCTTGGTCTGTCCATTTGGAATCACTGTTACGGAACTATCAGACCTAGAACTTTTGGATCCCAGGGCAAATATGAGTGAAATCAAACCTACCGATCCAGCAGCCACTAACGCTGGAGATGAAAAGGACTGTTCAGCAGCAAAAGTAAGTAATACATTTATACATTTGCAGCTGTTGTTTACCTTTTGCCAATAAAATCATTGTCTTTACATGTACAATTTTGGTAATTTCTTTCATTAAAACTTTTGCTTCATAATCTTGTTTTCCAAATAGCCCAAACCACAAAATGCCGTTACAATCGCCGTCTCCTCTCGCACCTTGTTCAACATGGTTGCGGAGCAGAATATCTATGAGGAAGAGGGAGTCGAGAACTATGTTACCTATCAACAGGAGCACGAGAATGAGCCGCTCATGCCAGGTGTTGCGTTTCCCCTTGTGAAGGTAAATTAGAGGGATTAAATTAACTAACGATATGGTGTGCATGTCTGTGCGTGTAGAGTCAGTAGGTGTGGTTGCGCTACGACTTCAGACAGATTCCGTATTGTAAGTGAAGGGGAAACCTCACTCACTCTGTATTGCCAATGCCTTTAGGCCTAGATGCAATTTCTGTAATCCATCCAGAATAGTGTTTTGCTCAGAATTACAACAGCCAATGTTGTTTCCTACTGTTATTCACCATCCATACATGAATGCATGAATTACACTTTGGCAGGTTATTCTTGTTCTTCCCCTATTCAAGCTGCTCTACACTCTTAGAAGTAAAGGTGCCTGGAAGAACCTTTTGGGTTGACACACCTGCAGAGGGTTTCCTTGAGGAACCCCTCTGAAAAGGTTATTCGAGGAACCCCTGTGTAAAGGTTTGAAAATGAACTTTTTTGTGATGGGAGGGGTTACATTTTGAGCTTTTTTGATAATATATTGTAGAGTTGGCAGCCTATCAGATTGGAGGTGTGGCTTATTGGAGGCGTGGCTTTCAGATTTTTTGTCACCGTAAGCATAAATGCAATTCCTGTTCGTCATGTTAAGTTTGTACACTGCAAATTAAAATGTTCCTTGATATTATATATTTTAATATAATGTTAGTAATATTAACATTGCGGATTATAAACAGTAATAAAGTGGTAACTATTAGTGATGTTACGTTTGATACCGGAACTTTGAGGCATGCGTTGAAATCGCTAAGCAGTTTACTTCGAAGCAGTGTGCTGACGCCTGTATCACTTTATCAGAAGCATGTGATCAATTAAGTCTGAAGCTTTGTTTTGTCAAACAACCAGCTGGTTGGTTTGGTATTGGTTTCAGTAGAAAACCAAAAGGCTACCCTGCACACGCGCTACGGCGTGTGGGACTTTATAACAGGGTTCATCAACTAGATTCAGTCCCGGACCTATTTTTTTTTTAACGGATGGTCATGGGTCCGGAACATAATTACAAATAATTTGTAGACGGAAAATGTACAGCAAGAAGCACAAAAATAGATATTTCACTGAAACATAATCATTTCAAACCTTAATTACATTTGTATACAATCACATACAGTATATCTCGCATTATGCGTAAGAATATTATGAACAGATTTCTAAAATTAAAATCACTTGGAGCTGATTTGCTGTTGTTTTTACAGTCTTTTATGTAAAAAAACAACACCATGTAAAAATGTTTATTTCTTGCTCAGAAAATTGGGGCCCAAATAATATCAAATGCGGGCCAAATTTGACCCACGGGCCGCCAGTTGGGGATCCCGGATCTATAATAATTTGGCTGCTAATTAATTATTTTGACCAGAAGGTGTCAGTAGTGTTCACTGTATTGATCAAAGCCTCAAGTAATGGACCTATTTTCAAAACAATTGGCTGGAAATCCTCAATGCTTCAGGAAGCTTCATTTCCCCATCACTAGTACCTATTCCAGTTGGTCTAGTCTAGTCCACACCAGTCAGGTTGTAGTTGGTCTAGTCTAGTCCACACCAGTCAGGTTGTAGTTGGTCTAGTCTAGTCCACTCCAGCCAGGTTGTAGTTGGTCTAGTCTAGTCCACACCAGTCTGGTTGTAGTTGGTCTAGTCTAGTCCACACCAGTCAGGTTGTAGTTGGTCTAGTCTAGTCCACACCAGCCAGGTTGTAGTTGGTCTAGTCTAGTCCACACCAGTCAGGTTGTAGATGGTCTAGTCTAGTCCACACCAGTCAGGTTGTAGTTGGTCTAGTCTAGTCCACACCAGTCTGGTTGTAGTTGGTCTAGTCTAGTCCACACCAGTCAGGTTGTAGTTGGTCTAGTCTAGTCCACACCAGTCAGGTTGTAGTTGGTCTAGTCTAGTCCACACCAGTCAGGTTGTAGTTGGTCTAGTCTAGTCCACACCAGTCAGGTTGTAGTTGGTCTAGTCTAGTCCACACCAGTCAGGTTGTAGTTGGTCTAGTCTAGCACACACCATTCCGGTTGTAGTTGGTCTAGTCTAGTACATACCAGCCATGTTGAGTGATTGTTTCTTAATCCCTGTGTCAATTATGTCTTAAAAAAACACACTCTCTCACACACTCACACACTCTCTCACACACACACACATACACACACACTACAGGCTCTGATGATGGTGAACTCCAGACTGAGGCAGCTCTACCCCGACAGTAAGGAGCTGTTTGATATCGTCCTGATGACTAGTAACCCCACCCAGGTCAGGGGGCGCCTCATCAACAGTACCAACTACCATGGTCCGTAAAACACGCCTACAACACGCCTACAACACGCCTAATGCTCTGTAAAGCGTACTGCAATGTTACAGCCACGCCTACAATGTTATAAAACACACCTGTTTTGGAATGTATGTTGATGTTTCATTAAATGATTGGACATCCAATTTTAAGCTGTTCTTTTGACCAAATATGTTGTTTTTAATGTTTATATGCCTGTTGTTCATGATATGTAGTGGCAATCTTTGGCTACCAGCCTGATGACTATACCATCACATTTCTATGAGTTTCTGATAAAAAACAATGGTTCCCTCTACCTAACAGGTTTAACCATTGAGAGATTCTTTATGACGGGAGGGCAAAGCCCCATTGGCTATCTAAATGACTGCATGACCAACCTGTACCTCTCCAAGGATGGAGACAAAGTCACAGAGGCCATTGAGGAGGGTAGGTGGTGATGCTACTGGTTTAGGATGGACTGGTTTAGGTTAGCATGGATGCTAAGTCCAAAACTGTAGATTACATTGTGGTAACACTTTATAGTGTAGCCTACATATATAATGCATGGATGATGCTGTTATAATGGGTTGTGACTAGATGGTGTACAGCCAAGGATGAGTTTACAATTGAACTACCATGAGAGTTTGGTCTTAATTTTGGAGAGGATGAGGATTTCACTGTTGGTTTTACACACAACATAATTGTACAGTTTCAGTTAATAAAACTGACGATTGTTTATTTTTGATGAAAGTACTGATGATGAGTGTACTGTTGCTTGTATGCGTGTGCTTCCTGTAACTGTCACCTCCTGATGTCATCCCCGTCACACTAGGTAGCTAGCTACAGTAGTTCCCGCAGTAGTTGCAGGATGAAGGACAATGTGTCCCGGTGTTGTTGCCGTTCATGTTCACCCCATTGGGTAGACTGAATCACGGTAACATCTAGACGCTTACCAATATGAATTATTTTAGTAGGAGACTAAAATCCTATAAAAAAATTATTACAAATTGGTCACGTTATACTAGCTACCACCGGCGACACCGTGAAAATACAGCTGCCGAGTAGGAAGCACCTCACGTCGGCAAGCACAACACCGGCGTGCCTTGTTGTCGTGATTAGCTAATTGGCATGTCAAGGTGACATCCATATGAACACTAGCTGTCATCACAGATGAATGGAGAAACCAGTTAGTTAAAAGTATATTTACTGTTCTCGCCTAGCGACTCATAGCTAACCCCATACAGAACCAATAGCTAGCTGTTGGCATAGCAACAAAACCCGCCAAATCGCACTGCGAGAGAATGACGATTTTTGCGTCACTTTCATCCGTAGCTGTACATAACCGTTGTAATGGTTTGTAAGACCTGTTATGAGCATGTATAACCCCCTTACCATGTCTTATAAACAGGCATTGCTGCAGCGACCATGTTTACTTCTGGAGATGAGGAGAACCAGCTGTCTGACACACAGCTGAAAGTAGCTTTTGACGGGGATGGTGTCCTCTTCTCTGACGAGTCTGAGATCATATTCAAACAACACGGCCTGGACAGGTTCATTGAGCACGAGATGAAATTTGAGGACACACCTCTTCCAGAGGTGATCATGAGATGACTCTATTTTATGTTAGATTTTAACATGGTCGTTTGTGTCAGATTTCCTTGATTTCCTTTACTCCCTATAGAGGGGTTATAGATGTTCAACTAACTAGCAACAAACATTTTAACTAACTATCCCACTATCCCTAAACCTAGACCTAACCCTTTCCTTATACCTACCAAAGTGTTGCATATCAACATTGGCAGTTAATATCTTGGTGATCGTTTGAGCATATAAAGACTAATAAAGTGGAACACTATTGGTGTATTATTTGCTTTGATTTTGGACAAAAGTAAAAATAATACTATGCCAACCCTATGACTCATTCATTCACTCAGGGTCCCTTGAAGTGTTTCCTGGAGGCGCTGGTGAAGCTCCAGAGAAAGTTCAAGAATGAACGTGAGAACTGCCCCATTCGTACCTACCTGGTAACATCCCGCGGAGAAGACTGCGGGGGGGCCCGTGTCCACAAGACCCTCAGGCTCTGGGACCTGGAGATCGATGACATCCGGTTCCTAAAAGGGGCCCCCAAAGGTCCCGTCCTGCAGGAGATCCAGCCCCACATATTCTTCGACGACCAGATGGTACACATCAATGCGGCCATAGAGGTGGGGACCATCGCTGCACACGTGCCTTATGGGGTCGGTTAGAAGTATCACAAGGGGAAACTTATTGAGCAGCCCGCTAGAGATGCCAAAGACAAGAAGTAGTGAGCCTCCTAGCGGTGGGAAGGTAGCATAAGTTATGCAAATGCTTAGTTGCACACAACTCTTGTCATCAGCTGTAGTAACTTTATTGTTTATCACCTTTTTTAGAGCAGGATTTTGTATTATTTCTCTCTATTTACACTTTATTACAAATGCCTTTATCAGAATATATTGTATTAACAGGAGAGAAAAACACATTGTTTAGGACTGTAGATGGAATACTCACATCAGGGACCAATGTCACCTAATGTTCTCTGTCATAAGGAGAGAAAGGATCACTTTCCTACAATCCTCATCATCATCACATTATAGTCTTTAATAGTATTTGGTCAAATATGTAGTTTTTTATGAAAGTGTGTTACCATTTTACACAGGAAAGTATATTTAGGAAAGTGTATTTTATATCTTTAGAGAAGCACATTTAGTCTCATAGCCAGATAAACATGTATGTTATATTCTCAACACTCCCGTATCTAGACTTCTCACTTCTGCCAACGCATGTCATGGTTTTGTGTGTTGTGGTTTAACATAGCTTTGAGGTACTTTGCATAGAGGATTGGTAAAGATATGTGCACTTTAGTAAATCTATGAAAAGGAACACTTACAAGGTAGAATGCTTATTGATATGAAGTGCTGCAAATAAATCTGCATTTTGGTTTTAATGCACACCATACAAAACAAACTTTAACACACTATTATTTACACTTAAAGATGCAGTCCGGGATCTTAAGCACTTACAAATTCTTAACATATTGTACGAAATGGAATTCGTAACATTTCATACGAATTGTGAACGTTACATTTTTAATTTTTTGCAGGACGTAACATATCATACAAAATGGATGACATAGTACACAGTTGTGCACATTTTTCTGGGAAATGTTTTGGTTTGCAAAAGTATCACTTTAATATTCATTCATTATTTTTACTATCCATGCATTGTTCTAATCCATTCCATTTTCTTATTCCATTTAAGAATATGACTTTTTAGATGCAAGAAACCTCACCTTGCTCTTAGTAAAGCTATATTAGGCTATATTTATTATTGCTATATCAAAATCTCAAGCAAGCTAGTTCAACATATCTGTTCCACTAGTAAAATGTTACATATCAGGCATTGTGTTCCAAATAGTTTACAGTTGAATATACATTATGTATAAGGACAGTCTATATTGTATGTAGCACATTAACTATGTTTCATATTTTAGGAATTGTCCAGAAACTCTCATTTCTATCCAGTCTGTATTTTTTCACTTTTTACTGAACATAAAGGGTTTATCCTGTGCATATTGCAGTAAGGTTGCAGTGATGTTAAATAAAATAAACGTTTGAAATATTCTGAACAAAAATATAAATGCAACATCTAAAGTGTAGTTCCCATGTTTCATGAGCTGAAATAATAGATCCCAGAAATGTTCCATACGCAGAAAAAAGTTTTTTCTCTCCAATGTTGTGCCCAAATTTGTTTACATCCCTGTTAGCGAGCAGTTCTCCTTTGCCAAGATAATCCATCAATCTGACAGGTGTGGCATATCAAGAAGCTGACTAAACAGCATGATCATTACACAGGTGCACCTTGTGCTGGGGACAATAAAAGGCTACTCTAAAATGTGCATTTTTGTCACACAACACAATGCCACAGATGTCTGAAGTTTTGACGGAGCATGTAATTGGCATGCTGACTGCAAAAATGTCCACCAGAGCTGTTGCCAGAGAATTGAATGTTCATTTCTCTACCATAAACCGCCTCCAACGTTGTTTTAGAGAATTTGGCAGTATGTCCAACCGGCCTTACAACCACAGACCACGTGTAACCACGCCAGCCCAGGACCTTGACATCTGGTTTCTTCACCAGTGGGATCGTCTGAGAACAGCCATCTGAACAGCTGATGAAACAGGAGTATTTCTGTCTCTAATGAAGCCCGTAGGGAAAAACTCAATCTGATTGGCTGGGCCTTGCTCCCAAGTGGGTGGGCCTATGCCCTCCCAGTCCCACCCATGGCTACACCCCTGCCCAGTCATGTGAAATCCATAGATTAGGGCCTAATGAATCTATTTCAATTGACTGATTTCCTTATATGAACTGTAATATATGTGAATAATTGATTCATGTTTTTATGTATTATCAAATCTCACCGTTAGATGGTGCTGCTGGCTACAAAATGGCTGAAATGTTTTGTTCACTGCTTTGTATTGTTTACATAGGCCTTTGCTCTAGCATCGTTTTTGCTCTCACATGCACATTCACTTGTGTTTTAAAACTAAACTAAGCAAATCAAATATCTAACAAACTCATTCTGATTCTAGAGCACAATCCTCCATACGTCATCTTTCCCCTATTTGAGTTGATCGAGACCCTTGTTTCATGTTGAGTCATAGAGTCTCCTGAGTGGCGCAGTGGTCTAAGGCACTGCATCGCAGTGCTAACTGTGCTACTAGAGATCCTGGTTCGAATCCAGGCTCTGTCGCAGCCGGCCGCGACCGGGAGACTCATGGGGCGGCGCACAATTGGTCCAGCGTCGTCCAGGGTAGGGGGAGGGAATGGCCGGTAGGGATGTAGCTCAGTTGATAGAGCATGGCGTTTGCAACGCCAGGGTTGTGGGTTCGATTCCCACGGGGGGGGCAGTATAAAAAAAAATATGTATTCACTAACTGTAAGTCGCTCTGGATAAGAGCGTCTGCTAAATGACTAAAATGTAAATGTAAATGTAATGTTCTCTTCCATGCACTTGCAAGAACACACCACACGAGGGCGCATTCATTCACACTATTTACATGAGGCATCTTTCTGCCTGTCGGGCAACAGACTACATCTCTCCATGAGCTGGGCCCAGCCTGCAGTTTCCATGGATACTCTGGGTGCTGCTGACACCAGGAGGACTAAGTAGGCGCGGCTTGTTTAAGACACAATTAATAACAAAGGATTAGAGGCACACAGTACCCTGCTGCTTTCTATGAGAGACACCGCGTCCTCATCACACAGGCGCTATAATGTGTGTGTTTGTATATGTGTGAGCATGCGAACTGTATCTGTTGGTGAGAAGTGTGTGTCATGATGGGGGATCCATTGGGGATCCATGGGGGATCCATTGGGGGATGTTTTGGTGTCTACAGGGATGTCAACAACAGGAACAACACTTGACTGCATCCTGCTCCCAGGGGGCTAGCATGTGGCACATCTTTAGACTTTGTTACATAGTAGTGACACACACACACAGCGGTATTTCTGATTCATGCCAACAGGAAACTGTGACATGATAATGACATGTATTGAGGTCAGCTGGGTGTTTTCCATACGAGGAGGAGCAGGAGGATTCCAACAGCAGCCACATTATCCAGGTCGCCAACCGGAATCTGTGAGGGCCTAAAATACTGCAATTCAACCCAATGACTATCCACTCACTGTAATGTACTGCAGGTCTATTTATAGAGGAACTTATTCAGTTGTTTAGTAATGACATTTCTATAAGACATTGATGGGCCTAAAACACAGAGATGGAGGCAGATGTGCAGCAAGGACTATACTATAGACTGCTATTTACTTACAAACTAGTGTAACAAAGATGGTTCTGTACACATGTACACATTTTAAGGCTATATGTATTGAGTTTCAGTGGATTTGAGAATGTCTTTAAAGTTACGCTGTTCAAATGCCTGATACTCAGTGTTCCATTAGACCTTGTGGTTTCCTGTGTCATGATTCTGGCATTGGGCCTTTAATCCTCATAGGATTGTAGGCAATAGTTTCAGTAGCCTATATGTTACTTATTAAATCTGAATTCAACATGATATGGAATTAAATGGAAATATTCATTGATTATGTCACAATCATTAGAAGAGTCTCTGGTTACTATGACGTCGATGACCTAGATTTAACTATTAATGATGCAGTTAGGATTATGATGCCATAATACGGAGGGATACCTCTGCTGTTCCATCCATAGAAATATAATCTCATTCTAGTTCTGTGGTTCCATTATCCAGGCACTAGACAGAAAGATGCCTGAAGGCTTGTGTATCATTGAATTGTTGACCCAGCTAGAGTGATTGGCTTTATCTGAGAAAGCAAACCATGGATAACTCTCCTCGAGGTAAGTATTTATAAATTACACTTCTGATTGGTCTGATTTAATGTTACAGAATTCTGGTAACTTTCCCTAAAGTCCACTATGAACAACCACCAATGGAGCAAGATTTGACTATATTTGTACAGTTCAATAGTCGTGGTGTGATGAATTGGTCATTGGTGAACCAAGGCTTTGTCCTGAAACCTTGCTCACGTTCCTCCATCAGTAAGCCAGGAGCAGGGAGACATCCCAATGATTGTATAGTATCATTCCATGATGGACCCAAGGGTTTTCTACATACACATGTAACATCTGCACCGAGGTGCATTTCTAATGAAATTAGAATTGGGTGAGAAAGAATCCTAAAGATGGTCCAAGTCTCTTAATCTCAGTCTGACAAACCCTCCTGATGTCTTCTAGGGATGAGATTATGCAGAGGGTCTAGAGACAGGTGAACAACTTGCAGCAGGCAATGAACCGAGTGCAGGGGCAGCTGAATACCATGCAGGTCCAGTTTGTTGAGTTGCAGAGTGCCGTCTCTCAGGTAGTGGTAGTCTCTCAGGTAGTGGTAGTCTCTCAGGTAGTGGTAGTCTCTCAGGTAGTAGTAGTCTCTCAGGTAGTGGTAGTCTCTCAGATAGTGGTAGTCCTTAAGGTAGTAGTAGTCTCTCAGGTAGTGGTAGTCTCTCAGGTAGTGGTAGTCTTTCAGGTAGTGGTAGTCTCTCAGGTAGTAGTAGTCTCTCAGGTAGGGTAGTCTCTCAGGTAGTAGTAGTCTCTCAGGAGTGGTAGTCTCTCAGGTAGTGGTAGTCCTCTCAGGTAGTAGTAGTCTCTCAGGTAGTGGTAGTCTCTGAGGTAGTGGTCGTCTCTAAGGTAGTAGTA